TAAAAGTTAAGTCACTTCAGTATCAGACTTGCCTATCGTGTCTTTCGCAGTATTTCATTAACACTTTCTGCCTCTTTAGCAGTCTTTTACAGCCAGTTTACAACATAACGCACCTTGATATGAACACTGTCTAAACAGTCGATGTCTCTAACAGTGTCCATTCTGGTTCTGTCTTATTCAGTCCTGTAATGTGTTTTTGTAACTTTGTGACCTGTTCTGTGGGGCTCAGTAAATGGGGTTGAAGAAGAAAAAAATGCTTTTTTTTTTTTTTTAAAGGATGTCTTTAGAGAGAAAAACTATTTTCAAAGCTGTTGCATGGATTAGTAGTATTTGGTGCGTTCATTTTCTGAATTTCCAGTCATCCTAAATAGTCAGGCTAAGAAACTTAAAACCAGTATTCCTTTCTAGTTGCTATTTAGTTTCGTACTAAAACGTCCCCTTTAAAGCTTGGTCTTACCTTGTAACTGCCTTAAAAGCTATCCCTTTGTTTTGAGTAGTTAGGGAAAGAAGGAACAGAGAGCACTGAAACATTACTGTTGTTTTAAAACATTCTTGTTGTTAAACTGTTCACTTACTGATTTGGGACCTGAAAGTCTCCTTTAGCCCTGTATTTGTAATTGGTGTTAAAGTGAACTTTACTAAGGTTGACAAAGTACCTGTGCAGGCATACCTTGTTTTGAAATAAGCTAAACTTACCCTTCTTCGAAAGTGTTTTTTGTAACTTGTGTTCTCTTAAATGAGTTGGGTCTAATGCAGTTGGTTTTTGCTTGTATTTTATTTTAGAAGCAAGAGACTTCTTTGCATTTACTCACGTTGCTCCTCAGCCAGCAGTTGCGAAGAGCTGTTGTGTTGAGCAGTTGTGTTGGAAACCATGCAATCGAGGTGGTGGCTTAACTTGACAATTTCAGCTTCATGTGTAACAGCATATGGTTCATCTCCACTGGAGCACACCTGGCTCATCTGGTGGAGCTGGTTCATCTCAGGAAATTCCTTCTGGATGTTCCCCTTAAGAAATGGCCTTGAGCTTGTCTTATGTGTTGGAAGTTGCCCTTATGGTGGGATGCTTTTAGCATACATTGGTGTTCAGTGCTGCTGGATGAAACCCTGAGTTTCGGTTGGCAGCACAGCTTTACATTAACAACAGTGTGGTTTCTTTAACGCTGTTCCCTGAAATACAGTGAAGCCCATGCAGGTGGCCTTACATACGGTGGCATAAACAGATCTCTGCGATGATCCCACAGCATCTTGTTTATGTCTCTGGTGAGTTTTTGGTTCTCCGTCTGTAGTTACAACGAAGAGGCGTCTGGAAGCTGATTTTCCTGCTGACCTGTGTTTCTTCATTCCTGGGTTGGGTGCTGAACACAGCTACAGCTTTGAAAATTTGAAGTGCATTATAACCAAGTTCAGAAAAAGCTGAATTTCCTGTGTTGGTGTTGCCAGGACAGCAAAAATTTACAGTGGAGGTATCTCAGGTTTGAGCAGCAAATGGAAATTTAATAGAAGGCCTCTGGTTTTCCTTGGCATTCACTGCTGGCATGCCTAGATGGAGGCTGTCCTGGGTTGTGGCTGCCTAAGCTTTGCAGGAGTGATGCCAGGCACTCTTTCTGGAGGCATGGTTCCTGGAGCCCCTGTTCCAGGAGAAGGCAGGTCACTGGAGAGGAAGGGTATAGATCTCAGTGAGACCTCTTCAAGGTGAGAAGCTGTAGTGTGGCTCCTTCTGTGTAGCTCTGGAGGAAGGCGAGCTGGGTTTCAGTTGTCAGTTCCTTCCCCTCCAGCCTTCCTGCAGGATTGCAGCTGAAGGAAGGTGTGCAGGCAGCAAAGGGCTGAAATAGCATATTGTATTTTAACTGCCTTCTCTGGCAGTCAAGAAAAATAAATAACTTTCCAAAGGATGTTTTTGGCAGGACAGGCAGAATATCTAGAGACAGAAGTCTCAATCCATTGTAAAAAGGTCTGTTTATTAATCTGCAAGAGACACGCGAGTCCTCCAGCAAAGCATGTAAGAACTAATCCCTGCTGGTAACTGGTCACTTAGGTTTTCTGTTTGTGCTCTGAAAACAGGAACAGCCTTGTAGCCTCAAAGGGATTGTGCCTTACTCTTATTATCAAAGTGCACGAGTGGTGAGAAAGTCTTTCCTGTTCTCTGAAACAACTTCAGTAAAACTACCAAACTGTGTAGGCTGTAAACATTGCTTTCCTGGAAGTGCTGCCCAAAAGAGGGCACCTTTGGCATTATGAAGAAGCCCAATTGCTGTTCAGTAACTACAGTTGGTGCTGATATTTTGGCCAGAGGTTGCAGATATTTTTTCGGTTTTTAAATGCTGTGCTGAGTGGTGTTAGCTGAAACTTTACTGTTTCAGCTATTCAGAGTTTTTTCCCCCCATTTCCCCTTGGAGTTGCAATGACTGCAAGACCTGACCTGCTTTCACTTTTAGTTTGGCAAAAATTGCCTTCTAGTGAATGTGAAAACAGCTCTTGATAACAAATATTTTTTCTTTTTTTTTCTCCAAGTGAAGAATGTGGATTCTTGCACTTCATTTCTGATAGTAGCATCTTGGTAGCTGCATGAGTCTGTTTACATGACCTTTCTGTTGAGAACCTCAAGGTTACCATAACCTGGTGTTCCCTCATTTCACACTTGTGCAGCTGTACATGGTGTATGAGGCTTCAGGCATTGGTTTTGAGTGCTGTGGAACCTTTTCTTCTGGCAGAAGACACCTCCTGTGTCTCCTCTTGGAGCCTGCACTGTTGACTTCAGTGTTGGGTCGTTGCTTTTGTTTCAAGGCAGAAAGAGAGTATTGGAAGACTGGGGGTATTTTTGAGTTGGGAAAAAATATAAGTAAATTGCAGCAACCAGAAGTGAAAAACAAATGCCCTTCTCCACACCTTTCAAACTGTTTCAGACGATCCATGTGTCAGTTTACTGTCACTTCGCAACATTAGGTTGTAACTGCCCAGAACTGTGTGTTTCATGCTTGAAGTTATGTCTTATGGCGCTTCCCTGTATGGATCTGTAACTATGACAGTTGTTTCAAATTTGCCTTCACCTTTATTTGTGCTAGCATCAGGCATTTACAGTATTAAGCCTACAAAAGCAGTAGTTAGTAGATTACCATAATACTGGTTTTGTTGGTTTTGGAGTTCTAATTTTGCTAGCTGTCACGAAAAGCTACTGCTATGAAAAAGCTACCACCATACTAAAAATTCTGCCAAATGAAACAAACATAGGGAAATTAATGTTTGTTCCAAGTGGAACAGGTTCTTACCATAACTTATATGAAAGTAAGCAGGCATCATCTTAGTTGTTTGTTCCAGTCAAGGCTATGACCACTGGAGTGGCCTCAGGTAACTACTTCTGTGGATGCTCTCACCAAGAATAAGCCTAAAGTTATTTTACAGTGTTCTGATAAAGTATAGATGTCTTTGTATTGACTAATCCTGTTACTAGGAAGAAAGTTGATTTATGTTTCAGGGTACAGTGCTGTTGGGGATCACTGCAGTCATAGTCAAATGTGAAGGGGCTACTGGGACTTGTTAATATTGGTGGTGGTGGTTGTTTACTTTTTTTTAGGTGTTCATGAATTTGCGTATGAACTGCATTGTGTTTGCATAAGCTTGCTAGCTGTGTTGCTTTTGAGTTAATTTCTGTTAAGTGGAGTCTGCTGGAAACTCTGCCCATTCAAGTGACTGGAGGATGGAACACTCTTCAGGCAGGGTGTCCATCTCTGGCAAATGCTGACTGAAACTTCAGAACAGTAGTGCAGAACTGCCCCCCCCCCCCCCCCCCCCCCGCCGATATAATCGAGTTGACTGGTAACGATGCTGTTTCTGGTATGCAGTATGATTCGGAGAAGTAGAAACTGTGCTTCTGACAGTTTGGCTTAAAACCCAAATGTAATGAGTAGTGACAAAATATCCCAATACATGATAACAAGACATTTAATGCATTCCAAATCTCTAAAGTAACCAAATGATAAATTTATATGTGCCTTCTCAAAGAGTAGAGCTAACAATGACATTTTAAAGCAAGCTTAGAGGGGGGGGGGAAGCTTAAAACATCCAGCAGCAACACTTCTACCATCCTGAGTGTAGACTCAGTGTAGAGAAAGGCAATTGCTATCCAAATGTGTGATATCATCAGCTTTCTCTCTTCCCCTAGAATCTGCATAAGCACGTGATGTGAACAAGGAAAAAAATGCCCTTTTTTGACTGATGATAAATTGTATGCCATGAATCACTGTCTAAATAAGATGGCATGAAAAGAAATTTAGAAATCTGATATGTTTTCTATGACTCCAGGTATTCATTGATTAAATTAAAAGATCCATCTGTACCTAAATATAATTACAGTCAAGACTGCAGTGGAGGAGGAGAAAGCTGAGTTGTCAGATGGAGTAACAGTACTTTTCTGGGTATGCAACTGTCTTGTGCATCTGACCCATGTAGTAAAGGCTGCTTGAGAAAGGAGGGAATCACTCTAGATGCTACTGTTGCAGTCTCAGTTTGTGTGTGCTATGTAAATGCCAATGCTGATGTTACAGAATTTTATACCAGGTTTTGTGTTGTCTTGCAATATCCTCTTCTGCTTTTAGATGTGGAGGATGAAAAGTCGTTTCTAAGCGTGTGGTTATAGCTTGATCTTTTTTTTTTTTTAAAGAAAAAACCAAAACCCAACTCATGGAGCTTGTGGCTTTTCCTGTTGTATTCATTTAAACTCGGACAGAAGCAGTGTTTTAAGGCTGTATTGTACAGCAATATTTTGACAGCTTCCAGACTAACCAGGTAGTAAAAAGACTATTCCATTGATGCAGGCTTGTTTTACACTAGGAAAGATCATAAGTGTGCTTAGAAAGATCTGGGATTCTTCAGATATTGGATATCTTGCAAGCAAGTTTAATGCAGTCCTCCAAAAATGTTGAGGTGCTCTTTACATATCTGGCATTCTCCTGTACCTTCCCCCTCTCTTTTATGCAAAAGGCCTTTAAGTGAGGTGTTTGAGGATGGTGGTTTTAGTGGTGGACTCTGCAGCAGCTGCTGTTGAAGGTAAAGGAGATGAGGCAGCAGCAAAGGTGGGGTGCTCCGTAGCTCTCTTGAAGGATCTGAAGCCGTTGAGACCAGGGACCAGCCGGCACTTTGTATTTGTGACTCTCTGGAAAATCCAGAGTTTCATCAGCCTAGCCCTTAGGCGGGGAGGGAGGAGGAGGCAGCATTGGTAGCTGAATTGTTTCCAAATGCAGGGAAGATGGGACTGTGATGTGGCATCTGACTGATTCTCCTTAGGGTGATTTTCATTTGAAAGCTTTAGGAAAAATAGTCATTGTTTGTTAACTGTTTAATTGTTTGTCATTATAGCTGATGGGGTAGGAGAAAAGTGGTAGGAGTTCAAGCATGGCGGGCTGACATTGCTGTAGGGTTGAAAGGAAAACAAAAAAGCAAGGAAACAAGGCAGAAAAGTCTCTTCCCCCCCCCCCACTCACCCCC